GGCGGCCTGAGGCCCGGCTTCCGCAGCCGGCTGCTGCCTGTGATTGGCGGAGGCGCGGAGAATGCTGGACGCCGTTGGTCCCGCCCCGCTCGGGTCAAAATGGTGCGGGCGAGGCCCTTCTCCGGACGGCACCGGCCTTTCGGTCTGGGGTCCCCAGAAAGAGACCGCTAACTTGTTTGAGATCGCGGATTTGGGCGATGGCCTCGAGGTGCGATTTAAAAAGACACAGTCGTCTTCAGCAAGGGAATAAAATGATTGTGTTCAACATAAAGGTTTCCTTCTAAATAGGTATCGAGGGCATTCAAAGGGGCCAACTTGTAAAAACTCGTTTCTTCTTTCCATTAATCCGAGCCCGTGACAGTTAATTTGATTAGGCAAAATTAACTAGTCTGCATAAAATGTGAGTGTGTGCACAGATGTAGAGGTAGGTATATCTCCTTCTCTCGATAATGCAGGGTTTTACTCCGGAAAAATAAAACCAGACTGAACTGCTTTCTGAGTTTGTTTCCACTGTTAAGATACCCTGATTCTGATTCTAGACTTAAAATTTTACGATGTCCTTTTGTTTCTCAATATCTTAGAATAGGTGAGACCTTTAAAAAAAATCTCTTGAAATTACACTTCTTGGATTGTTTTTGAAGAATATATGGAAATGGTGTGTTTCTAATCATTGGAGTCTAATATCAGAGTAACGGGAAGTTAGAAAGTACCAACACTTGAGGAGTAACCCCGTTAGTGGGCAACGAGAGAGGATTTTAAGATAAAGGGTGGTTTGGGGAGAACACCGACATAACAAGGTATAGGTGTATGCCGTAGTGAAACTCAGCGCAGTGTGCTAGCTTTGAAAATGACTGATTTTCTACTTAATTCCAAGTATCAAAGTAGTAGATTTTGTTTTAAGATGAAAAAGTGAAAAGATAAGAAATGAGAAACACAGAAAATCAAAGATGATCAGATGGGAAATGCTCAGAGAACTCGGAATAACTCAGTGCTCGCTTGTTAAGAAGCTGACAGAGGAGAAATCATTGTAAAGTTAAAACAGGCTTGTATTGATACAGTTTTTAGCTCCAGTTTCATGCCTTCTTCAAAAGCAAAGTTTCACTTACTTGACTCTACAGCAGGCTTGGAAATGACAAAGGCAGAAACAGAAGCCTCCAGAAGACAAGATGAAGATAATGACATGCTTCATTTTAAGAGACATGAGCTCATTTCCTGTTAGAGGGATTCCTACCAAATGAGATTTGAAGCTAAATAAATTCATCTTACAGACCGTTATTTCTGTGCTAGTGTGTGTGTGGAGCAGGTGTGGAAAATGGAAGAGATAAGAGATGTAAGGGAAAATTGAAAACATTCTGTGGCTTCCTCAAATGGCAGTCCTGGGCTCCTCATCCCCAGCCATTATAATATGGGGATTGAGAAAGCCATAGTGGACAATGGAGCTGTCCAGTGGGTAAAGGCACCTGCTACTAAGTGTGATGACCTAGGTCTGATCCATGGGACGCACAGGATGGAGAGAAAATGGACTCTGTAATTTGTCCTCTCTCTTCCACATGTTCCCCATGGCAATGGGCATACACACACACACACAAATACTTATTGTTTAATAAGGGTATGAGTGTCTGCACCACACACCTGCCTGGTAACTGAGGACAGAAAAAGGTGTCAGATCCCTAGAACTGGAGTTCCAGGTATCTTGTGAACTGCGATGTGGATGCTGGGAGCTGATTGTGGGTCCTCTGGAAGAGCAGCCCAACTTTCCAAATAAATAATGTTTAAAAATCAGTTGGTATACATATATGAAAATATTTTCTATTACACAGAGAAACCCTGTCTTAAAAAAAACAAAAAAACCCCGATTTTTTCTTTATATTTAAAAATAAAATCACTAGGGTGTGGGTGGCTGACACTTGTAATAACCCCAAAATAAACGGCTAAAGGTCACAGTTATCCCAGTGAGTGATACATGAGTAATTGTGAATAATAAAAATTTCTAGTATTTGAATTATTGATTTTTGTAATTAAACTGTCTTTGTGAGCTATCGAGAAAGTGATCGCCATGTAGACCTTAGCGCGAGTGAAGTAGAAACAGCAGCGGCCCTGTGCTGCAGCCTGCAGCATCCGCGGCAGGTAAGTCCGCACTTCGCCCAGCAGCTTTGCCCTGGCAGCCCATGCATAACCACGAGTTTATATAGAGTGACACTGTGTTACTCCGTCGTGTGCCCAACACTGCTAAGCGTCCTCAGCTTTCTCAGACACGAAGGGGTTGCTGCTGTGGCTGTTGGAAAGATGCAGGTGCTGGGATGACTCCAGCAGTAAGTGTAGGTGACGACCTGGATTCCTGCCCCAGGTCCCCTCTGACTCTGCTTTCAGCCACTCACCGAGCAGACAGACCTGTGGAATGGAGGATTTGTTTCTCAGTTGAAAGGTTAGGTTGTTTTTAGTTTGGTTTTTATGCTGGAGGTGAATTCGGCCTACCTACCCTGGCTGACTCCACCACTGATCCACTCTCCCAGCCAATCACATTTCAACTGGGCCTGTTGAACAACTCGTTCACTTTTCCTTAACCCTTATATTTTCACTTTACCACCATCTATGTTTCTCTACAGAAAGTCAAGCGTCTATATTTTTTGTTGTATTTTAAATCTGAGGGTGTGTGGGGGGTGTGAAATGCCGAAGCTCCTTTGTGGGGGTCAGAGGTCATCTAATGGAGTGGATTCTCTCCTACATCTTGGGTTCTGGCAATTAAACTCAGGTCATCATCTTTTGTAGCAACTGATTTTTGGCTGCTGAGCCATTTGGCAAGGCTGTTCTTCTTTTAAGACAAGGTGTTTCTGACCCTGTGGCCCAGCCTGGGCTGAAACTCTGTAATCCAAGCTAGCCTTAAACTTGAGGTAATTTCTTTACACTACCACTTGGCCCTTAGTCATTCATGTTTTCTATTTGACTTTTTTTTGGGGGGGGGTGCGAGACAGGATTTCTCTGTAGCTTTTGGAGCCTATCCTTAAACTAGCTCTTGTACACCAGGCTGGCCTCAAACTCACAGAGATCCACCTGCCCCTGCCTCCCGAGTGCTGGAATTAAAGGTGTGTGCCACCGCTGCCTGGCTGACCTTTTTTTTTTTTTAAATTTTGTTTTTATATATTATATATATAAAATATATATATATATATATATATATTTTGTTTAGGTGTGTGTGGGTGTGTGTGTGTAGACCAGCAGATAGTGTCAGATCTGCAGTCAAGGTGATTGTGATTCATCCAGTAGGAATGGGTTCCAAATGTACATCCTCTGGAGAGCAACAAGTGCTCATAACTGCTGAGCTATCTCTCTTGTCCTGTTGTTTTGTGTTTGTTAGTTTGAGACAAGGTTTTGGATAGCCCAGGCTGGCATCAAACTCTGTGTAGCTTCTCTCTGCCTCTGTCTCCCAAGACCAAAGGTTACTATTGTCCACCACCCCCTTCAGACCTCAAGCCTCCGTGTAATTTGTGTACAGAAATCCCCTTCAGATTTGAATGTTTTAAGGTCTTGCAATAGGTCATTAGCATGAACTCAGGCACACAGAAATTCTAGTGATGTCTGCTCACTTCTTTCCTGCCTCTTCCTGAAGACTTCCCAGATGACTGCTATGTACAGGACCCCTGTTTCTCCAGATCATGCTGAGGCTGGTTGAGCCCCATCGTTCAGGTGCAGACCAGTGCTCACAGTCAACCTTTTAGAAAATGGAGGCAGGAGAAGGAAGAGCAAAGGTTGCTAGGCAGGAGTCTGGGGATCAGTTGCATTAGCAGGCAATAGCAGCCATAAAATATTTAAGCTGACACAGGATTGCGCTGGTGAGACTTTTGTGTTGTTTTTGAGACAGAGTCTTCTGAGCCCAAGCTGGCCTGACACTCGCCATATGGTTCAAGCTGGCCTTGACATTTCTACCTCGTACCTCAGCCACCTAAGCACAGGACTACAGACTTGCACCACCAGGCCTAGCACTCTTACTGTTTCCTTGTTTCCTTTCAGTGTGGCACATCCCTAAGTGGCACCTCGCTAGTGACCAGACTAGGAACAGCTGTGCCTATACCTAGTCTGCAACGCTCATTCAAAGCTCTTCCACAGATGGGGTGGAAGAGGCAGGCTCAAATCAGTCACGATGGTTGTGTGTTCACAGGGCGTAAAGACGGCTCAGAAGTTAGAGATCAGATTGTGAGGCTGTTGTCAATTCATGGGCTCCTGTGACTTCTAAAGCTCATGACCACCTGGAAATGAGCTCTCTGTTCAACGTCTGTGAGCATCTTCATTTCGTTACCCATAGCTATGGTAAAATTCCCCAAAAAAGCAACTTAGAGGAGAAAGGACTTCTTCTAGCTCAGAACTCCAGATCATAGGTCACCAATGCAGAGAAGTCATGGCAAGAAGAACCTGAAACAGCTAATGATATCTGCCATCAGAGCAGATACTGAGTAAAAACATGCTCACTCATGTTCACCTCTCTCCTTACTCCTAACAGTACAGAATCTTCTGCTTAGAGAATGGTACTGCCTACATAGGAAGGACCTGCTCTCTTCAGTTAATATAACCAAGACAGGCTCTCCCAGGCCTACCTGATCCAGACAGTCCCTCAGCGAGACTCTTTTCAGGTGATTCAAAACGGTATCAAATTGATAATTAAAACTCGCCATACAACTCCGCACCTTGTCAGCTTGTTACACAGATGTTTCTTTAATCCATAAGTCAGCTCCACTCTCTCCCATCCCGAAATCTCATATTTCTCTTCTAATGTAAAATACAGTTCAAATTCAAAAGTTCCCATAGTCTTTACACATTCCAGCACCTGAAAATGGTAAAATCTCGGAGCCTGGAGAGAGACCTCAGTGTTAAGAGCCTTGCTGCTCTTACAAAGGATGAGAGTTTGGTTCCCAACACCCACCCTGTGCACAACCACATGTAAGCATGTGTTACAACCACATGTAACTCCAGCTCCAGGGTGTGTTTCTGACTCCCTCTTCTGGTCTCTGAGGGTACCTGAAGATACTCAGACACACACATGCACATAAAGAAAAATCAATTGTTACAAAATTCTTAACTGCAAGGACCTATAAAATAAAAACTAAGTGACACAATTTCAACATATAAGGGCACAGAGAAAACTTTCTTGTTCCAAAAGGGAAGAACTTGACATAAAGCAGTCACATCACAGCAAAACCAAAATCAAGCAAGGTAAACACAAGTCTTAACATTCCATGTCCAGCATCTGGGGCATGTGATCTAACTGGCTGGGCTCTGAGAGACTGACGAAAGGCAGTCCCAACTCTCCATCTCTGCTACGTAAAGCACTCACAATTTCTCTCATGCCTAAGCCAGCTCCATGCCAAACTTGCTGCTCTCCTTGTTAACGTCCATGAGTCCTAAGAGCTCCAATAGTCTGTTGTTTCCAACTGTAGCTCAAGCTTCCCCTTTAGGGCTTCACACATGGCCTCTTAACGCCTATCCATGAGAATCTAAATCAAGAGTCTGTTCTAAGCTGTACTCTGTGACCGCCCCCCCACCTCAGTCTTGCATCTTCCATGCGGCTTGATAGTGAATAAATTGAGAATGAAAGCTAAGCATCCCAGGTGTTAGAGATGAGCGTTAGGATCTGGTGTGCTGGAGGCTGAGGACACGAGGACTCTGCTCATTCACCCCCTTTCCCACGTGCACTCAGAGATAGCACTTTTTAATGTTTTTATTTGCATATATTAATTATACACGACAGTGGATTTAATTCTGAAGTTTTCATATGTGTAGATAATGTAGTTTGATCATATTTACCCCCATTACCCTTTCTTCTACACCTCCCACTCCTGTTGATCCCCTTCTTTCCCCAACTAGTCTCTCTTCTACTTTCATGTCCTTTCTTTTCTTTGTTTTTTTCTTTGTGATTCAGTGGGTTTCATTAGGGTTTCTGACAAGGGCTTGGGGAAGAGGTTATTTATAGGACCATGGACATTGTACCCACGGTGACACTTCTAAAGGAAACTTCCTTCCCTTCCCCAGCAGCTATTAACTACCTATAGATCCTGGGGGAGGCATGAACCCCTTCCTGATCCAGGCAGGGTGTCGATAGGCCCAGTCTCCTGCAGCCAACCATAGCTACTGCGTGTCAAGAGTGTGAAGACAGTGCTCCCAAACACTCCACGCTTTCCCGCCCCTTTCTGTCATGTTCCTCAAGTCTTGGAGGAGGTGAATTAGATGTGCCATTTGTAGATGAGCACATAATAGTCACTTCTTCTCAACACCTTGGCCAGTTC